AGAGAAAGACTGTGAGTCCAGAGGCAGGAGAGAGATCTTTAGTTGGAAGGATCAGGGAAGACTGGCTAGAGGTGGAGTTAGAAAGGAGATCCTTTCCACAGGTGAAAAGAGAAGAAAATCTGGAGCAGCAGAAATGTGTGATGCCATTCCATGGGTAATGGTTTATTGCAAAGAAGTGCTGGAAAATCAACTCTGCAACGGTAAATTCTAGTCCAGTGATGGAGAAATCTGGTTTCACTCCCTGAGTGTCAAAGAAGTTGCAGGTAACTTTGTGAGAGCAAATTGTCTCAGATCTTGAGAAATTAAATCAAATGATCAGCTAAATTACTGATTTTTTTAAATTGTAGTTGATCTGATTATGCTTTCAGAAGCTCAAGCTCTCCCACCGGAAAGGGAGCAGGAGAGCTCCTTGCTTCTGGGTCATGGAAGGAAGTGAGCTAGTATTGAGGAAAGGGCACACCAGAATCTCAGAATACTCAAAGCTGAACTCCAATGAATGAATTTCAAGGATGAGTAGAAACTGCAAATCCACAAATCATCAGCGGTGAGGTCCCAGATTAATGGGAAACTAAACCACAGCTTGGTTCTTGTCAAAACTGGATTTACAATGCTTAGATGTGAACAGCTATTTCTGAAGTCTGAGATGAATTTCCTGATTGTGATTCTTGGCAAGTGAATTGACTGTGTAGTTAGGGCTCCTGCGTCACCACCCTGCTCTGCCTCTCCCATTAGTGTTGTGACTCTGTAGCAACTTATTTGACTTCTTTGAGCTGCAGCCTTCTTTTCTGTGAAATAGGGACATAATTTTTTAGCGCATGCTGTTATACAATGCTTCTTAAAGTAGCTATGGTAAATTTTGGATTTTTTTTAAAGTGTCAGTCTGTTGCAAATACTTTCAGAAAACACAATAAGAAATAATAACTGGGAAAAATTATTGGATTTCAAAGGCATAATCTAGTTGAAGATTTAGAACAATGACAAAGGAGAAGTAAGGCCGGAGGCGGTTCAGTGGTCTTGTGCTAAAATTTCAGGAAAAGTCATGGCAGGTTATTTACACAAAGAATGCCAAAGGCACATCAGACTTGGGGTTCCAGGTTTTCAACTTTATCAAAATCTGATCCTATGTCTCTATCCTAAATTTCAGGGTTATACTTCCTTTTAAATTTCCCAAACTTTTTCCAACTTTAATATAAGACAAATTGGGTTGTGGACAATTGAACCCATGTTGTGATCTAGCCACTTTCTTTCTTTCTTTTTATTTTTTCAGAAAGTTTGGCCTTGCAGTTATATGAAATGAAGAGTTACCTTGGACCATCATTCAACTTTCTTTTTTGTAGAGCTTTAGTTGAGAATTTAAAGCTGTGAGTTCATTTTCTTTCTTCATGTCCTTAAGTCACTTCATGTCCTTAACAAGTGAGCAATACTCAATTTTTACTAAAATGATGTGTTGAGGTATATATTGATAGTTCAAAGGCTTGCTTTCTGCAGTTACCAGATTAGAAATGTCTTTAGATGATAATTTCAGTTATTGGTGACAGTTTACTGCTTAAGCCAATTATTAATGCCATTAAATCTGGCACATAGAATAAATTAAAGCTAACTGAGACCCAATCAGGAAAATGCATTTAAAATCTGTTTTAGTAAAGAGAGTGTGTGTGTGCCCTAAGGCAATTTGGGGAGTGAGTTAATGCCCCAGTAAAGTTTCTATAAAGCGTTGTCTCACAGTGAAAGTTAGATGTGGGCACACAGTTGGGAGAGCAAGACAGACTGTGATCACAAATATGAGCTGGGACTCACCAGAGAGACTAGCCTTGTGCTGGTGTCTTATTATCAGTCCGCAAACTATGGTGATGTGGGTCTTTTACAACATAAGTGGGGATTATTGTCACTGAGATAACACATCTGGCTCTGAGATTGCACAAGAACCAGTGGGGGGGTGTGGGGGGTGGTGAAACACCTGTCCCACACCCCCGAGGGAGCTGGTCTATAGTGGCAATGGCCAAAAGCACCTGCACTGACTTTCCAAAGTGATACAGTTGCAGCTTCATTTGCCTTCCAAGTTTCATGGGAATGTTTCCTGGGGCCCACACCCTGAACCACATAAAAAGGAAATACAGTTCCAGTTTATGAAACTAACATGGAAGGGAGAAACCAGATATATAAGACCTTTAGGTCATTAAAAAAACGAGGAATGGAAAATCAATATGGTCTAATATTTAAAAAAAGATCAATCTGGTAGAAAATGGGGGACAGCAAAGCAGAAATGGAGAAAGGTCCAGTGAAGAGGGTATTGTGTGAGATGATGATGGCCTATTCATGTGTGCTTAGCCTTCATGACCCCATCATCCCCTAAAGGCCTCACTTCCATATCCCACTCTGGGGAATAGGTTCTAACATAGGGATTTGAGGGGATACAAAAATTCAGTCTGGAGCACTTAAGATGGCAGTTTTAGTCTGATGACCTGAATTTGGGGAGTGTGAGTGAGAAATAATCAGTGGATCCCAGGTTTGAGCTGGAAGAACTGGTGGAATGGTGGCACCATTAACTTAATTGGGAGGGACATGAGGAGGAAAGGTTTGCAGGGTCACACCTCATTGTGCATTCAGTTGTAAATACAGGCAACCCCAAAACCAAGGGCTTTAATACTAAGGAGTTTATTAACCTCATCCAGCCAAAAGTTATTCCAGCATTTCAGCCATGGTGCACAAGCTTCCAGCCTTTTCTTCCCTCTTCCATCTTCAGGACAGAGATCTTCATCTTCAGCACCATTGCCTTATTGTTGCAAGATGGCTATAAAAATTTGTCTAAATTCTATGTGTGCAACTATGGGAAAGGGCACAAGGGCAGAGTGGCATATGACCAAGACCTTCTCTAAAGTCATTTCCCAAAACTCTCATTAAGTGGCTTCTGCTTCTATTAGACAAATGGAATCACATGACCACTGTAGCTAGAAAATTGCGAGGGAGTGAGAAATATGTTAGCATGACTTGGGTCAACCAGAGCTTGATGGATATGTTTGAATTGGCTGTGCCATAGCTAAGAGAAAATATCAAGTAGTCAATTGGACAAAGGGGTTTTTATCGCAGAAGGAAGTATCGTTCGTATCTTTGCTACCTTTCTCTCCCAGATGGACTGAAATGCAAAATGATAATTTATTGTTACCTAGCCCTGCAAAGCATATTCCTATGTGTGTGGGGGACTGCAGGGCTTGATTGTGATTGCTAACGTAGTGGCGGCTGAGTCTGCAGGTTGGGCTGATGTAGACAGAATGGGTTCTGGAGCTGTTGCTAGGATTGCACATCACAGGCAGACACAGACTTATGTTACCAAGCTTATCAGAGCCATTTCTTGTTATCTCTGAGCTGAGATGATAAAACAATCATACTCATTGTGTAGATCACATTCACACTAATTCTGTAAACAGTGATATTGGAATATAAGTGTACATATTACATATGGCTGCTTTTAGGCAAAAAAGGACATGTTGAGTAGCAGCAACAGAAATCGTACTGCTTATAGACTTTATAATATTTATTCTTATAGACCATAAAATATTTACTTCCCTTTATAATAAAAGTTCATTAATCCATTGTAGATCACACATTCTGTTAATACTAGTGACATTATATCGACATACAATCCTTACATGTAATACTATATATAATATTTAACTAATGTAATACTTACATGTAACGCTTTATCTGACATGTAAAGGATTGTATTTAGTTGAGTGTACTATTTTCTATCAGAGGTCACATCGTCCCCTTGATTTCTTTCCTCTGGAGACCTTCCCTTTTCTGCTTGTCATTCTATGAGGGTTATTTGGGAAATTTGGAGGCTCACGAGACCAGCAGTAGCTCGTGGACTGTTCCTCACAGCTTTGCCACATACCATGGGGGAAAGTCTGCAGGTGTTCTACAGGGAGTACTCAGGAGAAGGAACTTAAAGTTTGCTAAAGTACTTCAAGTCAAGAAACTGTCTGGATCTTCTGATTCTGCAAAGAAATTTCCAGATTCAAAGTAATATCATAAGAAGACCTTTCCTACTAAGGATTACACAATAGCTCATGGCCTCATTGTTAGCCATTCTCTTTAACTGCAGAGAACTGGACATAGGAAATGAAAAAAATCAATATGGTTTAATTTTAGAAAGAAGCTCACACTTGCTGGAACCGTTTACCATGGCAGGCCATAAAGTGCCCTTCCTAAGAACTGAGGAATCAAGAACATGTCTTGACTGTACTAAACTAACATTTACCCAAGTGTTCAGTGAGGTATTACCATGCATTAGGGGACAAAGGTTTATAATTAAATATTTTGTAAAATGTTGACATGTACAAATTAAATAATTGTTTCCTATTTAGCTTTTAAGATCCACTAAGTGTCACTGTTCACAGTAACTATTTAATAAGACATGCTATATCAGTTTTCTCAACTTCTTTGACCACGGAACCCAGCTGAAATAAAGTACCTTCACTGACCATAGTTCTATAGAATATTGTTTAGTAAATACCAACTTAGACAATCATCTGTTTGAATGACAGAGTAGACTAGATGATTTTTCCAGATTTCTTTGAATAATGTGACTCTAGGTTATGATACTACCTTGAACTCACCTGAAATAAGCTATAAAAACTGCTTAGGTAGGTAAGAAAATTGTCATGCAATGGGTATCACTGGGCTTGAAGTTATAAGAGATAGAAGGTGGAACCTTTCTGCAGGCTTTTCTTGTTATTAGTGTGTTCTGCTAACTAGCTTACCTAATTAGTTTAACTAACTAGTTGTCATCTTACGGAATTTTTATAAGTTACTGAGTCCCAGGATCCTGAGCTATAAAATACGACTCACACTACCTATTTCAAGAGTTGTTGTGATGATTATATTATTATAGGCATACCATAGATGCAGATGTATATGTAACCATAAACTTTAATACCTGTTATAGCTGAAAGAAACAAATGCTAGGCTTTTAAAAAAGTTAAGAAAAAGCATGTGAAAATTTTATTTAGATTGGTCTTACTGTAACATAGTATTTTTTATAAAATAATTTTATATGAGTCCATCAAGATACTATATAGAAAATACACACTAAGGTAACATATATACACTTCATAAAAATAGAATACATCTTGGCAATTGCTTCCAGAGTCTGTTACCACCATGTACAGTGTATTGACGTTTAACATTAATGCTAATTTGAAGATGAGATTTTCAAGAAAAGAATACTGTCCCATTGATATTTGAAAAAAATTATTTCCAATTTACAGGAAAATTTCTTAAAATGCTGGAATGTAAAAGTATGGAGCTATATGCATGGAAGTTTATAACAAAATCTTAGAGCAAAGATCCACGCCATGAGTGATCATTTGAGGACAAAGTCTTATTTTTTCCTATTATCATAAGTGGTTCAGTTAATTTCATAAAATTACTAAAAATAATACTCTTATTTTGGATGTTTAGTCAGAATAAGCACCATTTGGGATAAAAAATAAAAACTTTCTAGAAGTTGCACTATATTTCTAAAATGAGCTGTGTTTCTATTTTTCCTTAAAATAAAAATAGGTGTATAAGTCTTACTATAAAATATCAATACTTAAAAAAATCTTCATGTGTTACTCAGCCAACATGGATAAAGGAACACAGTAACTGGTTTTATTATTCCAAAAACGATCAAATGCTCAAATATCCCGACTTTGAATGTTTTTAAGAAGTTAATCTAAGCTATGGCGCTACCATAAAATTTAAAACATCACTGATTTGTCCTGTTAGATGTTCAGAATGATCTTTGGAAAGAAAAATGCTCCAGTGTAATAAATAAAGAAAATAATAAGGGACTTTTCTAGACCTAACCAAAAGATACGAGCATGGTGGGATCATGAAATACCTCAGCAGTACCAAGGAAGGCATGCAGAACAGAGCAGAGCACCATTTTCAAGCTGCCGAAATTGCAACTGTTCAGGAGACAGTAATCTGGAAGGGGACTTGTTTCCCATGATTAATGCAGTTTAAATATGTAGATTAGGCTTTGGGGAGCTTCTTAGAATGGATAGGCAGACACGGCTATATAGACTATGAACGTGGTCTGATACTCGATGGTTCCATTGGCGCTGTAGGATAATGCTCGAACCCGCATGCGGTAGGTCTCTGGTTCTCGCAGAGGTCTTGTGGTGTAAACCACACCTTTCAGGTTCTCATCCCTTAAGGCAAAAGGAATAGACTGATCCTCATTGACCATGAGGAACGTTGTCCTGGGGTGCATGACTCCATCTTGCGTGTATGCAACCAGCCGGATTAAATCTTGATTGGCTGCTATTCCAAATGGGAGGGAGACCAGTTTGTATTCCAAGGCATATGGACTCAAGGCACATTCCAAATCATTGGGCAGACAGTTTTTGAGGCAGAACCTAAGGACAGCAAACACATGACGTGCATATAGTTATCTGGGTTGGAAGTAGGAGAAGCATGAGGCAGGTGGTCAGGATCCTTGACAACTTGGAGGCATTAAAGGCAGGAGACAGTTTGACTGAGAGCAACAGGCTTACCCCATGTTCTGGGTCATTAACTCAAACCAGATGCCAGATGGCTAGGAGAGTACACGGCTCTAGCAGCAAAAAGCGTCTCTCAGCGTCATTAAAGTCAGCAGCTTTTGAACCACTAAAGTAAGCGAGAATACCACAAGGGTATCTTTAAAATGAATAGTCAGTTTTGGAAATAACAGCATCAACACATATATTGGAAACAAATAGTTTGTCAAGACAGGAATACCATTTAAGAAATAGACTGTCTTGGTGCTTGGTTAATTTTTCTAAAAAGAAGAAAAGATCTATTAGGAGTTCTGGAAAGAAAAGTTTCATTTGTATTTGCTTTCCATACTATTTTAAGTGAAAAGTACTATATTTTCTTTTACTAGAGCCTACACAGCATGGTTTTGAGTCATCGAGACTTTTAAATTATCTGCCAGAAATCACTGGTAATAAAGAGTAAAATTAAAATAATGCACAAAGGACCATTTTCTGAAAATATGGATACTTCAGTCTAGTATTTTTAGAAGTTTCATAAGTCTATATTTTTAATTTTTTCCCTTTCCCCCTTCCTATTCCTCCAGATGCTTATGAATAGGCTTTGGTGGATCCTGGACCGGCTGCACTTGACTGTGTTACAGGAACTTGGTGTCACTGCTGAGAGGAAAAACTAAGTGTGAGCTCTGGCCAGCATTTGGCTTCAGAACCACCTTATTAGCAGGGCCTAGTCATGATGACCGTTTTATCTATTTCACTTCCTTAACTGGGTGCCTGAACAGAGAATAACATTCTTGTAAGGGAAGGGAGAATAGAAGAGAGGGTTATTCAGAACTAGAAAAGACTGTTGAGCCAGCAGGAACAGTAAGCAAAATGGCACAAGGACTTGCAGACTATTGACTCATCCTTGCTCATTTCCATCTCTCACGATGTCACCGCGAGTCATCACACTAACAGCCAAGGGCTGTCTTCACGGTCTATGTGCCAAGGGCCCTGAACACCCTGAGGGCACATGAGGGAAACCAGAAAACTGTAAGAAAGGCAGGTGCCTCAGCCCTTGAAATGGTTACTGCTGAGACAGAATTCTAGAAGTTGAAGGTGGATGACATGCTGGAGAGATGACCCTTGAAGCTCTGGCAGCCAGAGTGATCATTTAGACTGCAGACGTCTCATTTCTTGCCCAGTCCATGAAGAAGAAACATGCTTGTCACCCCATTTTCCCTGGGGTTATTTACTTCCTAGGAGGTCAGCATGACCACAGACAGGGGTTTGTTGGTTAAAAAGAGCAGAAGAAAGATTTTCAGAAGCATGTCTGGAAAGAGAAGGCAAGACGTACCCTGAGACGGGATCCCGCTGGTAGTTGGGTGGACAGGGTGTGTCGATGCACTGGTAGCTTCCTCTCATGTTGAAGCACATGCGGTTTGGCCCACAACGCACATTCTGCTCCAGACACTCATCGACATCTAGTGAAAGACCAGGAGCGTGAAATATCAGTACTTGGGCAGAACCAGCCCTTGGACCACTAGGGCGGTGCCTGTCTCACTGGACTGTGTGAGCTAGTTTGGTGAAGGAGCTGGGTAGTTGTGCCTAAGTTTCTTTAACCATAAAGTGGCAGCAGGGGTTAAGTCTCAGCCACTGCAGTACAAATTCGATCCCTGACCAGGGAGGTGACCCACATGGTGCAGCAGATCTCTCCTGACCATCTGCTGTTCTCCTCAACAGCGTATTTCAGTCAATCTGTTTTTTTTTCCCACTCTGCCTCTCACCCACTCCTGCACCTCTGGCCTACACCCCAGCTATTACATGTATAAATAAATAAATCTAAAAAAAATGTAATACTCTTCATTTTGTGTGTATTCTGCTAATAAGTATGTCATTTGTGTGTGTGTATGCATGTATGTTAGAGAGAGAGAGGGGAGTAGGGAAAACAGTGAAATAGTGAGATGGTAGAACAAGACTGAGAATGATAGATTTTTCTAGAAACATTTTCCATAGAGATCAACAAAATTTTTATGGGTTTTCAGATCCCAAAGTTAAGAACTATATTTTAGAACAACATTTTCACACTGTGGTATCTACATTTCCCTGGTGAAAGCCTTCCAGTACTATGACAGAAGGCAAATATTCACAGGAATTGATTTCATCCAGATCCTCATTTTCCATAATTTTCCTTCCAAAAAACAATCTGCCTCAGAACTTCCGGTGCCTGGAACTCTCCTTCCCTATTTTACATGTCACAAAAGATTTCCACTAATCCTGAGTGTTTTTACCATACCCAGGAATAAAATGCTATAACACACACATGAAGTGTGAGTACACTGGAAATGCATATTGATAGAGGTGGGCCTGTCATATAACCATGTGGACAAACCAAATGTCATAGGTCTTAATTTTATATTAGATTTCACAAATGAGCTGGTTGTCATGGTGACAACTATTAATTCTTTTATCTGAACAGAAACATGACCTTAGACTTTTTCTAACATTCAAGCTGATTGGTTGAACAAGGATTAAAAACCTTTAAATGACATATGTTGTGGTCATCCTTCTTTGATTGAGGGAGGTAAATCTGCAGCTTCAAAACTTTGAAGTTCAAATGTACTTTTGACCTAAAAGTACAGGTCAAATATACTTTTATCATGGAATTGTTGCTAAGATCAATGGCCATGTGTAACTGTGATGTTATTTCACAGTAATACGTGAACTGGTAGGTACATTATATAGTAAATGTATATGGTGCTATTTATATTAGTCTTGGATTAAAGTTGTGAAATCCTTTTCTGAATTCTTAAATAACTTGAAATATTGCTATAAAGAAAAGTAAAGAGATAAGAAATTCCAGAAGACAGTATATTATCAAAGGTAATGTCAAATTTTATTTTGAATCGTTTACTCTTGCATTGCTGTGCCAAAAATAAGCATTTTAGTAGATAACAATAATTAGGAAAGATATATGCATCCCTATGTACTTGGCAACACAGTTCATGATAGCCAAGATAAGGGAATACCCAAATGCCTGATGATGGATAAAGAAGATGTGGTACATACACACAGTAGAGTGCTACTCAGTCATTAAAAAGATGAAACCTTTGCCCTTTGTGATAACATGATGGATTTTGAGGATATTTTCCAAGCGAAGTAAATCAAAATGAGAAGACAAATCTCATACGATCTAATCACTTGTGGTATATAAAGGAAAAAGGCACTGAACGAACAAAACAAAAGCAAACCCTTACATTTTGACATCCTATCAGTGGGAAAAAAGGAGAAGGAGTGAGTAGACAAAGCCAGCAGATGGGCAGTGGATGGTGTCTAGATTTGGTGGTGACACTGTGTGTGTGCTGTGGCAAAAATATGCATACCAGAAACCTATACCATGTTGTAAGCTAATGGTTTCATTAAAAAAAAAAAAAGACAAAAAGTGAGCATTTTTGTTTCCAAATTTATTGGTTGATAAGGAAATGGCAATTTAATTATTGACTTTAAATGTAAAAGTAAAAAGACTGGAATAAATTGTTCATTTGACTTTTAGTTACTTAGGTGTAGTGACAAGTTTCTATTACTAGTTTCTCTTACTAGTTTTATATTAAGACAAGTTTTCCAACAGGAATGGAACATGATGGAAAAGTGTTTATTTCAGTTGTCTTCCCTATTGTTTTTGTAAACCAATTTCAAATTAAGACTTTATCTGTCAAAAATGCTTCATCTCTGACAAAATAAGATTATCTCAGAATGATGTGAAAGTTTCCTAGAAAAATGTGGAAGAAATTTAGTCTTCTTTCATCTTGTCAACAAAGTAAAATTAATCGTAATACTATATTCAGTTTAATTTCAAATAGCCAAAATGCTATTTTGACCATAAAGTTATTAATAAGAAGTTTCCCATTATTTTTATGCTAATTTTTTGAAATCTGTCATGTATTTTATATTTACAGCCCATCTCGTTTAAATAATAAACCCTCTAATAAAATGTAGTCTATCAAACAATATAGCTGTGCTTAATGGAAAAATAAGCCAGAAAAGATAGAACTGTCTTCTGTTAACTGACAAGGTGGTGATGTCTGGTTTTTATTAAGTACTATAAGAAAATTATGATGATAGAAATTAAAGTATAAGCATTTTATAACATATTGCTAGAAGAGAACAAAACCAAGGTGAGCTGAACAACTATTATATATCTTAAGAGGGAGCATATAAGTGCATTTAATCAATGTTTCCAGATACACTAAATATAATTTATGAAAAACATACTTGAAGCATTTGTCTTATATGTAGAAAGAATAGAGCAGGTCAGATTGACAAGCAAAGATTACTTTAAAAATGCAAATAGAAGACATTTCACATACAATGCCAGCAAGGTATTTCTGAGTTTTTAGAATGAGGTGCTTAAAATTAATAGAAGGATCTTTTAGTTTCTTCTGCTGCTTAGGCAAATCATAATCAGTCGTGATCTTTTGTTTTTCATTTTTCAGTCTGGTGATTTGCACTTGCGACTGGACTCTGTTCTTGTTCAGTGTCAAAATCACTTTAATTTCCCTTTTATTAGTGACATTTTTACCACTAATGTAAAAGGCTCCAAAAATGCATATATGAATGAAAAGCAGTCTTTTGTTCCCATAAATGCCTCAATCACTTTCTAAAGCTATAAAGAGAATGCCAAGTTATTCTTTAGAGTAAAGGCTCTTTAAAAGGACATAATTGTTTTCTCTCATGTTTTTTTTAAACCACAAAAATATGTAACTCATTTAAATTGCAAACATTTCAAATGCCACCTGTTTCTGATTTGTTCTCATTATTTTCCACTCTCTGAAGCACAAATGAACACTAAAAAAGTTTTGAACTGAATGAGTGACAAGAGCAATTAAAAAGCTCATTGGCATATGTTAGAAAAGAAGAAAAATCTTCTAATGAGAAAATGACATAATATAACCTTAAAATTCTGGCTGAAGGGTTTTGTAGTCTAGTTGGCTATTCCAAATACTTCAGTATCCACCCTGCTTCCTTCCTTGGTGCTGACATACAGTATTAGTGCTGACACTGCCATCTCTTCAAAAGGATTCTTAGGTTGAAGAGAGGGGCAAAGTTATGAAACACAGACAATGTAAGTGACCTCACTTTTTCTTTCTGTCACATCCAGGGAACCTACGTCCAGAGCATGATAGGATGATAGAGACAAAGGACGATTCTAGACATCATGAGAACTGAGATCATGTCCTAGTTGCTCTTGATTGGTCTATGACACTGAGGCCCATATAATTCCTGAGAATTAGTTTTATTTTCTGCAAAATGGATACTGATTATTGTATCCACTCTGTATTGCTGATTAACGTGAGATAAGTCATTTTGGGAAAAAAAAAAAGTAAGACTATAATGTTATTCTGTAGTTGGAATCACAGTGTAATGTTCTGTGCAGTGTAAGTGCTAAATAAACATTTGGTCATTGACAATTGGAGGCAAAGGCTGTCATTGTGTCCACTTTTCTTCTGCAGCCAACACAATACAGCTGGGGTTCTTGGGGACTATGTTTGGAAGAATGGTGAGGGGATAGGAGTGAGAAAGCTTCCCTGCTTAGATGAAGCCATTCTGTCTTCTGGTCTTGCTCCCAGGGACACTTCTCCCCTGAGGTCCCATCTAGTTAGTCTATGGATCTCAAGAGAGGGAAAATTCAACTACTGCTTAAAAAGTACCTATGGATATTTAATTTACAACCTTTAGAAAGGGATAAAGTTTGTACACAACAAAGACTGATAAAATTTGGAGGCTTATTAAGACCTACTCCTAGATTTTCAAGGTTTTTATCGTTACTTAAAAAAAAAAATCTAAGTACCCATAACAATATAATAAACCTTACCAAACTACAATGTTCCTTTCACATTTTTTGTATAGAAAGTACTATTAATTAGATTGATACTGTTTTCTATCATCATATATATTATCCAAAATCATTGCACATAAATTTGCATGCTGATTATGTACTTGTTGACATGTCTCCACTAGACTAAGATCCTAAAGGGAAAAGACTGTATATTATTTATTTGTTCAAAGTCTTTGCATCCTGCTATGCTAGCATGGGACTGTTTCTCATTTGTAGTCTCAAAGGATGAATGGATTATCTGGTCCATTACTCACTGGGCACTAAGACAAAGTATAAAATAATGCCTAACCCTGTGGGAACTTTACTGAGCACTCTTTCCATTTTCTCTTCCATCTTAGCTGAATGTGAAAAAAAAAAAACATTTGAAGAGGCCTACTTTATTTAGTACTTATATACATATACATATATGAGCATACAGTGAGCACACACACACATAATACAGTGGTTTAGACTTTGCTGCTTCTACTAGTATGTTCACACCAAAAATACTTGTCATATTCTTTTATTTTGTTACTACATGCAAATCAATGCTTACAGATGTCTGATCAATGGAAAGAGGAAAGCTGAGAACAACTAGTAGACTGATTCTTCAAACAGAGGGAAAACACTTAATATCTCATATTCTGTGATATCAGTTTCATATTAAGTTGCAACACTAAAAATCTCACCCATTTTCTTACCTTGACATGTTTTTCCATTGAGCATGAGTTGATAGCCAGGTGGGCAGATACACTGATAGCTTCCAAAAGTATTTTTACACTCATGTTGGCAGGTGTCTCTATTTTCACATTCATCAATATCTGTGCAGAAAGCAAGCAAAGTGTATAACCATGCAAAACAAAGGCAGAGAGGGTGGCAGAGACAACTTCAAACAAACAAATTGTTGACATAAAATGGTAAAGATCTTGGTGATTTTACATTCATATAGTTACACATTCCCAAAGTTGTTTATTTCAGGATCTGTTTTCAAAAAAGCCCAATATAATCTGTACTATGTTATCAATTGTGAACCTCTCTTTTGTGTATGAGCAAAGATAAGCTAAAGCCCCAGTGTGGCTAACAGAGGAGACTGATTTGTATGAGATTCCACAGTGTGGAATAACAGAGGAGACTGATTTGTATGAGATTCTAACCTACCGATTTTCTAACGTCTTGACAGAAGAATGTAAGTTACCTAAAAGACACAGATTCTACTGGGGTTAATTGTGAAAAGAAACATTAACTTTTATTTAAACTTTAGCTATGTCTAATTAAAATAGCTATGTCTAATTATACCTTCCCCTATTACTCATGAATGGCTTTCCCATACACAGATATCACCAAGTGGAACTGTTTTTACATTTGTGATAGGGGTATTTATCAAACTTTACATAATTAAGCACTAATAAAAACTGCATATGTATTTATCTATATCTACCTATAGCTATCTATGGATATTTTTGCTAATTATGTGGACAGGGAACTTAACTCCTCAAGACCTCAGTATGTCTCAGTTGTATTGAGACAGTCTCCCTACTTCAGAAGGTATATTCAAAAGTTCATATGCAGTAATGTATGGGAAAGTATTTTATAAGCTATAAAGAGTTATCCACTTGCTACTATTATAGTCAGTAAAATGGCAACAAAAAGGAGAGTAAAAATAGATGATAATTACAAATTAATTTACATTTGCTTCAGACTATGTGAAGTCATTTGGGAGGTCTCAGATTTCTCACCCCAATTGTGTTTTTGTTTTGATCAATATTAGAATGTACACACAATTTCTGCATATAAACCAACTAACTAGTGATAGATGAGAAGATCAGGAGATGAGATGGGAACAGGTGTGCTAGAAGGTGGAGTGAAGAGAAGACCAAGCGAAACCTGGGGGATGACTCAGAGCAAAAGGATCTGTTAATTTTGCAAACTTTGTGTATGTTCACAATACTATTACAATGATTCAAAATCTATCAATGATAAATGCTCATCAAATATTTGTCAGTGTTTTTGACCCCATTTTAATTAGCCAAAGCATTCATTCTAGAACTAGGTTATATTTACTTTTTCCCTATATAATTTGCTTTGACTTAAAATAACAACAAATGATGTGGAACTCCAACTAGTCAATACTGTATTTCCCAGAGCACGAAGTTTAAAGTGATCCCAAACGTTACTTTTGCATCCAGAAGCAATGAAATATTCATTTTTTTTCTGTTAAGTTTTGGAATCAGTGTCTTGAAGAGCTAAATTTTTAGACTCAATCCAACAATCCTAGTATTAACTTGATTCTTTTGTAAGTTGTCTCCCCCCACATGGTTCATTAAAGGTATTTGGTGTTTATTGTCATATAACTCAAGACTGTCTGCAGCCATAGTGTAAATTTTTTTTATTGGTATCAATACTACAAAATGCCATACTACTTCTAAATGTTGAAGACTATTAATTTCTCCAAAATGAAACTTAAATGGCCGTAGTTGAATAGTTATAGAAATTTATGTTAGAGTCTCCAAGATTTATCTTTACTCTGAATCAGTAGCTACCCTCAAAAAGTTTGTGGTACAGGGAAAATAATGCTTGAAAACATAAAATACGTGTATATAAACACAAAGACACAGAATATATTTATAAGACTATGATGGAGTTACAGGGGATAGAGATAGTAGTGTGAAAAATTGAAAATTGGGTTATTAGTTACAGGCAAATTCTTTAAATGACATAGACCTTCAGATGATTTAGACAAAATCAGTCAGATGGTGTGTATAGGGTGTTTGTTCATCACAGCAAAAACACAAATAGGGGAACAGGGGAGTTAAGACAGAAAAGTGTAAAAGAGCCTGTTTGAAAAAAGGAAGGTAGATGGTGGGATTAATAAGAAATGGAAATTCTTCATGGTAGTGATTGTTCAGAAGGACTGAAAGACAAATTGTCAGATATTAATTCTGTCAACAAAAGAATAAAATCTTAGCTAACAGAGTAAGATCAAAATTGTGGGTATGAAAGATTCCCAAACCCAGAACAGTTTGGAACAAGTGGATATATTAGCTTGTTTGATAAATGTATGCTGTCTGATGTATTAGTAAGGAAAATGGGATAGGGTCCATATGTTTAATTAGTAAACAGTGTTTAACCACATGGAGCAGATGTTGAGAATTGTTAAATGGGAGCAAAAATGCTTGAAGCTTAAGGATGAAAGAAACAATCTCTGTTTCACTTCAAGGAAACTGATCACATCAGGCATATTAAGCTTTAGGTATATCAGGACATGCAGAAGTGAACTCAAAGAAAAAAGATTAAAGTTTAATTATCCAGAGTTTTTGAGGGCCAATTGAGTAGAGAAGATATGAGAAGCTGGGTTCATCTAAGAGTGGAGGCACTGAGAAATGATAATGCAGGAAGAGAGCTTCAAAAGGCTAAGGAAATTATCAAAACTGAAATCAGAAAGAGAAGGTGTTTTGAAACGTATGAAAGAAATGTTTAACAGAATCCATATTTAGGAGAGAGTAAGGAAAGTCTAGAAAACACACAAATGTAGAAAAATGAGGTTGGCATAGAGGTTTTCAAACTTTACAAGGATTTCACTTTTCCTCCCCTTCCTCCACCTTCTTTTTTTCCCTCTCATCTAAGGAATAGCGGGCTTAATTCATGTTTGCTAATTTATCCTTTTGAATAAACTTAAAAACATGCAAAGTATGGACACTCACAGAAAATAAAATTAAATGAGTGACAGATGGTAATGTTTGCAGTTTAACTGAAAACAATGTCTCAATTCTTGAGTTGAAAATTGCTCCTCACTTTTGTAAACAAATTACACAGACTTGTGAGTACAGATCAAAATACTGAAAGCATGGCTTTTAGAGTGAGGGAAGCAACTTAATTTTGTTCTGACTCACATTATCTTTTCAGTGATTCATATATATACAAAATAATTGAACTGAAAAGTTCTATGGGGAGTGTTGTCATAGAGAATAACAGTTGAGTGAGTAGCTGAAACTTCCACTTTTAACCCATTGCTTTGGAATCAATCAGATACAATCATAATCCAATGCCATTCTGTTATGTGACAATATGCACATTCTGTTTAAAAAACAGTCTGTAAAGCACTGAAATTTATTTCTCTGTAACATTAAATTTACTAACACTTTCAGGGATGATCAAAAGAAACTTAATATGAGACAATGTTACTAGAATGCACATATGTAAACCCATCATTGATTTGAATATAATTTGTAATACTTTTAGATGCCAGAGTAAATGTCTTGAAACAGAGTGATCCACGATTTGGGATCAGATATAACTCACTGCACCCAAACTACTAGGGGTGCTATACATATGCTTACACTCTGGTCCCTAAGGGAGCCCACAGAAAGGAAACATAAGATGGCTGACATTTACCTATACAAGTGTCTTGGCTCGCCTCCGAACCTTCGGGGCAAGTTTTCCTACTAGTCCTTCTAGTCCTGGAGAGAGCTGTCCTGCTGTTTCTATACTCTGAGTAGGAGCTGTAGAGATGTGAGTACTGTCTGTAATGCTGTTGAGGTTGATAGTTGTTTCTCACAGGGGAGAACCGAGCAAGGTTATAGCTACTGTACTGAGTGCCATAATTTGGCAGCCTCTCCAATCCAGCGCAAGATTTCCCGTCCCCTAATAAATGTTGTCCTGGTGGACAGACACACTTGAAGCTGCCGGGGGTGTTGGAGCACTGATACGCACAAGGTTTAGGCACTTGGTCACATTCATTAATGTCTGCTCGTGTGCCATGATACATAAAAAAGAGAAAAAAAAAACACACATACACACACAAAACACAGGGATAAAGAATCAGTCTGTGAAACACACTGAGGACATTATGTTACTCTCCAAAGTCAGGAATACAAGTCATTTCTCAATGGCTGTGAACTTGAGAAAATTTTAATCGTTTCAGTTATGAATTCATAAAAAGATTCTGTGACTCTCCCTCAAGACTGCTCCACATGTACAAAAGAACATAAAAGGTCAAATGGAAAAATGTGGTCTTGAATCCAGACAAACTGGAGTTCAAAGCTTATAGAAATCTTAGTTCTGTTAGTGGAGGAAAGAACACAATCATGTCTCAAATTTGCACTGGTTATAATATTTCCCCTCGGATACATTTTTATTTCTCCTCACTGGTTTAGAAAACAATTTCTTTTAAGAACCAAATTGGTAGAGTTAAATAGATTTTTAAAATATACACGTATATTCATAAAATGAAGTCATTATTGCATTAAAACGAATATACACATTTCCATTTAACGTAATTCAATACACTTTAATACCAACCAGATTAGAGGCAGTATTTTGAGAGCATACACAGGATGGTGAATGCTCTGCCCTTGCTTCCAAAGCATGTAGCTTAGTTAATTGCATAATTACTCACCATTGCCTCTTTTGTACAATTATAAGTTTCAGGGGCAGAAATACTGGTAGGATTACAAATATTTTCATTTTTTTTGTCTCTTGAATCTAATTAATTCATGATTTTTAATTAATGTTTTAAATTAATCCTCAGACCAAGCACATTTTTGTTTTACAAAAGATTAAAAAGGAAGGGAATGAAGGCACAGAATCATTTATTATTAAGATACAACTCATAAAATATGTTAAAGAAAGTTATTCTTCTTTCTATCTGTAGGTCAACACAGCATATGTATTCACAACTTTCTGTAACTGAAAAAATGAATGAAAACCCATGATCAAAACCAAGATCAACCCCAAATTCTTTTCTTCATCACCAGAGTAGCACACAACAAAACAACATGAAGATACAGAATAAAATTAGTATATTTATCTTTCAAAATTATTTCAGGAGGCAAAAGTTAAAATTAACATTTTTAATCTCTCAAAAGCAAAGGTCCTTCATTGATCTATCACCAGCCTCATGTCTGACATTCAACTTCTGGTCAAATTTGTGAACAAATGAACACATTTTATTCTGCTGGTCACTGTTATGACTAATGCTAAATTATATATAAGTTATAATGTGTAAAAAGAGTATACAATAAGTGATAATAATTGCTATTATTTGAAATGCCAGAATCAGTTGAATTAAATATGAAGTATCTGAAGAAGCCAAATTATGTATTAAACCAACTTAACCTCCTAATTATAGTAAGGGAGCATTGAGGAGAGAGAATGACCTGAAGCAAGTTGTTAGCTCAGGTAACTATAATAGTAGTTTTATTACTCAATTTAAGAGTTCCTTTAGACTTACCCACACAGGGTCTTCCAAGTCCTTGAAACCGGTAACCCCTTGGACATACACAACGGTAACTGCCTCTTGTATTTTCACATATCTGGTTATATCTGCACTGATGGGTCCCATCTTTACATTCATCAATATCTACAGACATGGAGGCAAATAATAACATTTCCTTTCAACACCTAAAGTTATTACAATGAAAATGAACATACTATAGAACTGTCAAAGGCTGCATTTCTTACCACGTGGCTGGGATTTAGAATCAAAAAACCTTGGTTCAAGTCCCAGTTCTGATACTTATTTAGTGGTCCTAGCCCTCTTTGCTTCTTACTAGTTTTATTCTTAATTATTTTTTTGCCCCCTTATTTATACTCCCTTTTCCTCTGACCATCCTGGAGTAATGACTTAGTAAGCTTGTTGACAAAGATTTTGAGCAATAGTGTTACATTGCTACTGAACTAGAAGCATTGCCAGAAGCTAGCTATCTCCATTCCCATGCCTTACCAGTCCTGCAGGGAAGAAACCTCAATCAGATAGCAAATATCAGCGCCATCTTTAACTTATTTCTCCAGTTGCTAGGACTGGGTAATTTTGCCTTTGTTCATCAAACCCACCTATCTCTACTACCCATTTCCACTTAGCTATATTGTTGCTGTAGCTTCTTAAATAGCTTTTTGATCTCTCAGTCTATCTCAAATCTATTTCAGAACCAGTAGTTCTGAAAATGATTACAATGTAGATAATTGTAGATGATGTACCAAGTTGGCTGCTGTTGTTGAGTCAAGCATAACTACCTATGTTTATAGAGGTTTTGAAAAGAATCTTTGAAATCTGATTCTCCCCTCAATTTTCTTTTGAAGTGCACTAAACCTCCACATACCACGTATAAACCTCAACACATATTAATAAGGGGTCAGTATCCTTTTATTTTTATCTATCCCCTTTTCATGTATCATATTATTTTGAAACAAATTTACAGCATATTGTAATTTTATTAATACATTTTTCAATATTTTGAAATCATCCCTCTAAAAAAATGGGACCCTAAACTGGGATATAGTTAAAAATGGGTCCTAAATTTCTATGTCATCTAAAGACTTGTCCAAGGTCAGAGAGCTGTCAGAAAAGATGAATTTTAGTGCATTATTTTCCCTCACACAGAGCATTCTTTCTTTCCCTTTTCTACCTGTTCTACCATTCGAGGCTATATTTAATGGGATCTTTCTGTGATGCCTTTGACAGGCACTCTCATTAGACACCATCATTCTTTCATACAATTTTGTCTGTACTTCTTTTATAGTGTTTTACTATCCTCATTACAGATCTTTTTCTTTTTTCTTTTGGTGAAGAGAGTGGAGTTAGCCAATCTATTCCATAGATTATAAGTACACGATAGCAGGGGTGATTCTCTTTCATTTTTGTAAATCCTGCCTCTCCTTGCTTTGCTAACTAGTGCAGGCTGGTACAGAATGTGTGCACAGAGATACAATTAGGGAGTAGTAGAGTGTACCATGCCTGATCATTGCTTCGACATATAAAAAATATTTAGTTCTAGTGAAGCTATATTTTGAATGTTTAATAGGCTCTACAAACATATTTTGCACCCCTCCCCCATGAAATTCTAAGCGTAAATGCCAACTTTCATATTAGAAGTACAATTTATTTGGATATTGAACTAGGTAAACCAAGTGTGTAATCATTGGAAGCTCAACTTGGTCATAAGTGTTTAGGGTGAGCTTCTATCTTCTGGTATAACCATTATCCAGAACTAAACATACTAGAAACTGGACGTGCAACACCTACAGCAAAGAGTAATTTTCTTGGTAGATTAAATTTACCTTAATCATAACTTTTTTTAAATATGGTAACATTGGTTTACATTGGTAACACTGGATTCCATGTGAGTCCCAGGCAGATGTTCACACCTCTCCAGATGCACATTGCCACACCACCTTGCACACAGGCCCCATGTTCTTCCACCCCAGTCTGCTGATCACATTCTACACTTTGTTTTCTTCCTTCCTCCTCCCCACTGAATCATTCATTTAAAAAATGAATGTCTCACTTGGCTTGTTGATGACAAACTGGTCTCAGTTATTAATATAGTTAGATACTCACCAATGCAGGTTCCATTTTCTGCTTTGGTCATTCCAGTTGGACAGAGGTCAATACACTTATAGCCACCACGAGTGTTTTTGCAGTGCTGGTCTGGTCTGCACACATTCTGTCTACACTCATTCACATCTGGATAAAAGAATAAAGGTCACACATACTGAGAAACTAATTTTTTCCACTTTCCATATAAATTATACCTCTGGACTTTAAGGGTATTGTAACTAAGACAGACACCGATTGTATAATCATTTTGTAAGGTTAAATGTTTAAATTTTATGAAAGTTTGTAACACACTTTATTTTAAAACAGAGTGTTAAAAGCTAAAACCAAAACATTACTTCACAGAGCTGGTGGTCATACCAACCACTTCCTCCTCCTAGGAAGATAAAAAATTATACATGTTATCTATAACTTTAATTATATACCTATATGATATACATCTGAAAAAATTGCTAAGTAGGGGAAATTTTACCAACAAGGTTTTGTAGTTGGGAGACAAAGTGTATAAAATACAGCATTTGTTTCCATTTTGCTTTTTGTGTGCAGATTATATGGCATAGTAGCTGTCCTATATATGAATCAAGTCTGGACATAGCATATTCATTAGATCAGATACTGTTACAATGTTATCAAGCTATCATTGCTCTTAATTTAAAGCCCATTCTTACCCATGCACTTTCTGCCTTTGAGCTGATAGCCAGGTTCACATCCACAGTGGAAACTTCCTATGGCATTGAAACAGCGGTGGTGACAGGGGCTGGACTCCTGACATTCATTAATATCTGTTAAATAAATCAAAACTTTCACTGTATAGTGTTAGAACACCTGGATTAATTTATCCCAATGTTTAACACTGCAATGATCATTGGTCATTATCATGTTTAGTATCTTCCCTAAAACTAATCCAATATATCTGTTCCAGATAATCTGCCAAGTCATTGACAGAATTAACTGCTAGAGAGGGTCTCTGCCTTCAAGACTCCTGACAGACCATTGCTGACGACTCAGAACTATATAACACACCTCTAAGTTTATTTTGCCATCTGTCTCCCACTCTGGTTTCTAGAAAGTTTCAGCTTTGGAATGTTGCTGACAGGAATACTAAAGGTGAGGCAGAGGCAGGGAGGTGGAAGTAGGGAAGAGAAGAGTGGGGGGTGTGGTGGTGGGGGAAAATGCTAAGGTCTTTTGCAATGGACTATTCTTCCCCATTTTCCACTGCTATTGGCTTTCTCGAGTCTTTATCACCTTACACCAGACTGAATGCAGCAATTTTACCATTTATTTCTCCTTGTCTGTAGTGACTGCCAAATTATTTTTCCCAAACACTACCTGAGTCATAGTATAATTAACAAAGCCTAGACATAAAGTCCCTAAAGTCTTGCGTATTTGCTTGTTATTATTATTTTGTATTTTCAGTCCCAAAGGAATAGAAATCTCTCATTTAAGAAAAGTTCCTTTATGAAAACTTCCTAGCTTTTCAGTCCTTCTTTAAGGATAAGGATTGTGGTCCATCTATCGTTCCCTTGTCTTGTGTATTTTTTAAGTTTGTAGGTACATTAAATTTGATAAGGATTGTGGTCCATCTATCGTTCCCTTGTCTTGTGTATTTTTTAAGTTTGTAGGTACATTAAATTTGTCCTATGGTAACAAAACTTGTCTCAAGCTCCTGCCACATCCCCATTGCTTCACTCCTAACCTCTCATTTGAGGCTCTTCACATCTTCATCTTGCATTCCCAAACCTGACATTACCCATATCTTATTTTGTACTTATTTTCTATCTAAGGCATTTAATATTCCAGTATCTTTGAATGTGTTAGCATAAATGCACAAATGAGGGATATACTATTAAAGACTTTATCAGTGCATTTTTCCCTTCTTCCTCTTTTTCTTACCCCATCTCTTTTTATCCTTCATGCCAACCAAAACCAACTGTTATTAACAATTTACTATGAATAAGAATGTATCTGTTCTATGCACACACACATACACACCCAAACACACATATACACACACATCTCAAACATACAAAACCATTTCCACTTTCTTAAGTTATTTTTGTTTTGCTAATCATCTTTTCTACACAAGTTGTATATATTTTCCTATATGTTGGTGTCATCATGGAAATTCCTCTAAGCCAAACAACAGGGGTCAACTCACTCTTCACAATGGCTGCACAATGGTTTATGGCATGAATGTACTTAATCCCTTTAGTCTTTTACCACTGGTTGACATTCAGTTTTGTATATTGTTTCTGTCTATGAAAAATTCTGATAACAGTTTTATTTGTAACTGCCCAAACATGGAATCACCAAGATTCCCTCAGGAAGTGACTGGACAAATCAACTGTGGTACATGCATACAATGGAATATACCCAGGGCTTGAAAGAAATGTGCTATCAAGTCTTGAAAAGACAAAAAGGAACTGTAAATGAACACTGTTAAGTGAAAACAGTCAATCTGAAAAGGTCATGTACTTTATTATTCCAGCTATGTGACATTCTGGGAAAGGCAGAGTGAAAATATCAGTGGTTACCAGAAATTGAACAGAGTGAGGAATGAATAGATATAACACAGAGGAATTTTAGTGTAGTAGAACTATTCTGTATGATATAATGGGGGATATATGTCATTATTTATTAGTAAAAACCCAAGGATGTAACATCAAGAGTGAATTCTAGCATAAGCTAGGGACTTTGGGTGATAAAGTAGGATTATTGATAGTTACAAACATACTCCTCTGGAGTGGATGTTGCTAGTGGGCGAGGCTGTCCATGCGTGGGATCAGGGAGTACGTGAGAACTCTCTGTACTTTCCGCTTAATTTTGTTGTTGTGGATATAAAAATGCTCAAAAAATAAAGTCTATTGAAAAATCCTGTAATAAACACTCTAGTAGTCTTGTGCAATGGAATCTGATGAAATAGATTCTATTAGATCATGTTATATAATCTCCTTTTTCAAAAATAACAGGCAAATGTTCTTCAAAATCACTGTGCTAAAAATATTTAAAATAGGTTTGTACTATTATATCCAAATATCTTGTCAAGAAGCTTGAGCTACAAAATAGAGTTTACTACAAATGATGCAAGAGGCAGATCTTAATTCTTAGTATGATCAAAATGAAGTAGGCTCCTGTTTTTGTACCTTGACAACTCAGTCCATCAGAGGTCCTTCGAAAGCCAGTTCCACAATGGACCACACAACGATAGGATCCAATGGTGTTGTCACAGTCCTGCCCCGTGTGGCAGCTGTGTCCACCCAAAGCACACTCATCAATGTCTGCAACACAGTGAGTCATTAAATTAAGCGAGTTGATGAAAACCAACCTAAAAGTCTACTGTGAAACAGGGGTAAAGAAAGTGATCAGCAGCATTGAAAAATATACAAGACCAGGAATGTGGGTTATTTTGATCGGATCATTTCAGATGGTGAAACAGCTGACAAGTTCGCAGCTGAACAGTTTATGTGAAGATCCATCCATGCATTAGACGAGGTTGATAATATGGATCACATTAAAGGGAATAATATATTTAAGGTGCCTGACCCACAGGGAACATTCTATGAAAGATTCCTCCCTTCTTCAGTGCTACCCCTCTTTTGCATTTAAAAGGGTAATCCTTTTGACATGGAAGGAAATTCTTTCCTTTACATCATTATTAATTTATTTATGCAAGTAAGTTCTTGCATAATTCTAAAGTGTTTTATTTCTAGAAGTTCACTTAACTTCTTTGTAACCTCTTGATGCCATAATTTTCTTATTGGAAAATGAGTATGTAGTAGTCCTGCCTGCATTTCCACACTATGTCACAGAGATTGAGTGAATCACTGCAGCCTCCCTGTCCACTGGGAAGTCAGTGTGTGAGCAGTGCTCCTGTTACAGAGGTGTCTTCGTAAGACAGGGGGGCACCATGTTCCCTGCCCCCATTTACATGCAGTCACCTCAGACTAACTACTGGGATAGATAGCTAGATCCCTCTAGAGCATGCAAGCTTGGGGGCCCCTGGTGAGCGCTAAAACTCTCTTTTTCAGTTCAATGATGATCTTTTCTGTTTGTGACCAAGGTGGAGGGCAGAAAACATAAGAAAAGAACATTGAGGGCCCTCCCTGGTGGCACAGCAAACTATAGCTCAGCACTG